TTATTTTTCTCAGAAATATAAGTTTTAAATTAAAGAAAGTGGATCTTGATCTGTTGTACATTAGGTGTCTAGTGGATCATTTTAATGGATGTGTTCAATTTAAATTCAACAATATTATTGTATATTATTTATATAATTTTATATTTGTATACAAAAAACTAATCCGAGCAGAGTAGGCCGGTCTATCAGCATATATTACTTTGCACATTTCATGATATAGTTTTTGGTATTTTCATAAAGTAATTCATTTTATTGTTAGTATTACGGTTCATTGATTAAAATTTTTCCGAAAATATTTCATATATTTCATATATTATTTAAATTATTATTTTATTATTATTATTACAACATAAAATTATATGATTATACCATATTATACTGTTATTATTAACTTTTGAGTTAATACTCAATACCACCATACCATAAAACAATGTAAATAAGTACATGGTACAAAACTATAAATATGTAATAGGTTTGGATAGTAAATTAACCTAAATACTTTGAAAATATTATTATGTAAATAGAAAAATTATAGTATACATAAGAATTTCAAGTTCCCGCAAAAATATTTTTAAATGAAAACAAAATAATTAACATCGCTAATCATTGTTAAATAATATAATTTCGTTACTATTAGAGTTTTAAATTTCTGTGAAAATTGTGTTTATAAATTGCAATATTTTTTTTTTATTTAATTTAAACTACTTGTGATAAACTCAATATCAAAAGTAAAAAATTAAAAATGTTTAACTTTAAGGATGTTCGTCGATGAATCAACTAGACCAAATTTACTATTAGAAACCTCTCCGAAGTTGAAAACTGAAGCATTTTAAATGCTCGAAACGATGAAGACAAATAAAAAAACACACACGCACGCACACATCATTGTAAAATCAATACATTCATCGCTCCGCTCAAAATCTGAAACAATTCTTTTAAAGAAGATATTCATACATTTTAATAAAATATCCACTGTGGACATTCCAAATCTACGAGATTAACATTTTCTGATTTATAACAAAATAACAACATACTTCAAAACAATAATAAATTGTTGGTAGTTTTTCCTTAAACTTAAAATGACACTGCAGCCAGAGCTTATTATGCAAATCTAAGACTGTCGTCACCAATACAATTTATTTTATTTATTCGTATGGCCATTAAAATAACCATACTGTAAAGAACGTTATTATATTTAAACTAACTAATACTATATAAAATGTATACATTATCATTATTAAAATTTATTTTGCAAGTGACAAAAAAAATTTATCCAAATTATTGAATAATCACAAATATTTTAACATAAATACATCAATAAATGATAAATGTTTTTATTGAAGGACAGGAAATTTACAAATCTTGAATTTATTAATTTTACATTACGAGCTAGTTGATTTTTTGTCACTACATATTAATATCTTTTGTAAAATTTAATTTAATAATATATCTTTATCGTATATTGTGAATACGCTATTTCTAATTTTCTAGAGAGTTGTTATGAAAAACTCTTGGAGCAATCTATTTACTTTTTAAACCCAAATGTATGACCAAATATCAATAGCTAATAAACTAAAAATAAAAGCACGTTTCTGTTCTATTAAAAATCTAAAATATATAATAACACGTACGTCGTACTTACTAAAATTTAATTGATTAATACTTATATTAATTTATAGTTGGTACAGTTTAATAAAAACTTGTGTAAGTATTAATGTATAGTTACAAATATTTTTTCTATGTATACATCTTTAATTTAAATGAATCATTTTTAAAGACAAACAAATGCGATCCTTAGTTAGTAAAATCAACCAAGTTATGTATTTATTTAAATTTATACAAAACAATTCAGTATCAACATTTTTATGATTCTATTTTTGATAGTGGTGTTTAAACTTTTTTTTCTCAACTGTTTTTATTTAATATCATGAATTATATTCTAGTATTTCGGTAAAATTCCTTTTTACTTTTTATTTTTTTTTTAATTCAAGATGATAATAAATAAATGAGTTATTTTTTTTTTTTTTTTTTAATGTACACCCATCATTCATTATTGCTTAACGTTTTGAAGTTAGTAGTTGATTAATTTTCAGTGAAAAGAAAAACAGCACTAAAATTTATATTTTAATCTACCAAATACTAATCAAACAATAATACAGTTAATACGGGCCATGAAACGTCGCACTCAACTGTAAACTAATGCTTATTCCAACATTGTGATTTATTGTATGTCATATATTTTGTCACAATCCGAGTTTCCTAAAAGCTATTACATATACTATTTATGTATTGTTTTAAAATATTGAACATGAAATTTAGTTGGTATGCATTATATGATTTACCAAAATTATCACGGAGAACAAAATTATGTAAGATTCATTTCATATTATCAGTCACGCAAGCACTGTTTAGAATAATATAAAAGACTTTCAATCGTTTAGTTGCTGTACAACTTAAGTTTTAAAATTTTTCTTTAGTTTATAAATTATAAAATTTACATATACATTGGTGGATGGTGAGTAGGGGCATTAAAAAGATGATTAGGTTAAAATTAATATTAGTAAATCCTAAATTTTAATATACGTCTATTAAAAAATTATAAAGGAATTAAATTACCTTGGTGGAAAATCGAAATACTTATTTTTCCTTAAAGAATTTTGTCCATTTTCTATAGATTTTTGCATGAAGCAATTTGATGAAAAAAATCGTTTTGATTTATTTTCCATTATAGTGTTGGTCGTGTAATGCGTGGCTAGAAGAAAGAATAATTATTTGATATATATATATAATATATATATATATATATATATATTCTTGATGTTATTTAAAGTTTGATAATAATATAACAACACAATTTTTACTGTTTACTGTTAATTGTTTATATATAATTATTATTATTATTGATGTATTTACGGTTATTCCATCTAATTCCGCTGATTAAAGCTTGCGTAGTGCCGCTATCTAATCTAACATTCAAAACTCATATAATCAATAATAATATGCTACCTGATGCAGACAAATCGATAATATAAATAACATTTACTATTAATGTATAATATTACTGGAAGAGGTTTTGATGAGATCTAGTGCTTACTTATTATGAGAGCTAAGGAACATAATTTTTTATGAGCATAAAATACGTTTTATTCTTATGTTAATCTAAATTTTAGTGTAAAAAACGGTTACGTTGTTAAAAGGTTGAAATTAATTATGGTTTATGAAATAATACTGAAAATAGTTAACAAACAACGTGTGAATTGTTTAAATATTGCCGTGGTACCTTATGAGTAACTTCAAACTAAAAATATGAATAAATAACCCGTTCACATTATAATAACTAGTAAATTTATTTCTAATATCAGAATACTATTAATGAAAACGTGGTGATTTATCATTGCATTTAAATTATTACAATAATTAATATTATTAATATTTACACATGAACAATTAGTAGAGTTGAAACAAAAATTTCAATAATTTCAACTTAAATATAAAAAAGCCCATGTCTGTTGTTTTTAACATAATATGTGTACACACTGTATATAAATCATCATTATTTGTTCACATATTATTATCTACTAAATATTTATACGAAAATCGTTTTATGTCTTTTGTACGACGTTTAATATCCAAATTAAACGACATGTATAATAAATGGAGAATAATTTTTTTTACCGTAGTCTTGCTATTTTACAAAAGTGAAATGTTGTGTATTTTAACGTAATAACCTAAGGCATGTTAGTAACGCAATATTTTGTACTCTACCCTTGTTACAAACTACAATGTGTACATAATATTTTTCAAACGCAAAGCACAAATCTTTTTTTTTCATTTGGTTAGGTTCACAGTTATAGTTGTAAGCGCTGGACTTTATGCCTTGCTACAATATTTGACTTGATAACTTATTTATATTAGTATTGTAATAAAAAATTACCGGAAGTCGTAACTATAGATGTATGTACTATAAAATATCTACACTATTATATTAATATAAAAAAAAAAAAAATAAATAAAACGTGAATGTATAATAACAATAAAAATATAATTATCTAAGTATTATCGGTGCACATTTTTGCATTCATGTCCTTCAATTATTTATCAAAATAATTTATTTAATATTTTTTTAGGCGTTAATAACATTTTTAAACTGTTTTAATTTACGAGAAAATTGTTATTGTTATTTATTATTAGTAATAAAATTAATATGTTTATCAGTTGCATTTAATGACACTTCGGGTGAATGAGATAATCACATTATTTTAATATGTTCTAAATCATTCACAGAACACATTTAATTTATTTAAAACTATTTATATTTTATAAATGGATAGTGACAGTGTCGTTAACCGTTTTTTGGAAAATATAATATAGAAGACGGATGAGAGTCAAAGTTTGTAAATGAATGTTATTTGTATAATTTTATTCTAGGGAATTATTTTTAACGGGGGTGTTTACATACAAATACGCTATATGTTTACATTTGGTTTTTAGTGATTTTAAAAATAGCCAATAAATTTGTAATATCTATTATTCCTGATTGCATTTCCCAAGTAAACAATCATCACTTTAAGCCTGATTCACACTGTTACGGCATGGCACGGACCGTCACAGCACGTAACGGCCCGACAAATCGTCCAACTATTCACACTTGTCCGTCATCCACCGTCAAAATATGCGATCACTCATCAAAAACCACTAGCGTATCCGTGTAGGTACTTAAATATTGATTGTTATACGCAGCTAGGTAGTCGTTCTGTGCAGTTCAGTATTTAAAATATTGTAAAATGTTTCGAAATTTCTCAAAGTCAGATTTGGCTATTGTAGCAATTTTATTAGATGAAGAAAAAGAAAGCTATACGAAGAATGTTCGACAAAAGTTTGAACGAAAAAGAAAAATTTGGGTCCATGATATTTTGAAAAAAAGAAAAACTGAAGGTGAATTTGCAACCCTATGTCACCAACTCGAGGATCACGAAGATAAGTTTTTTAAGTACTTCCGAATGTCCAGATTTCAGTTTAATACTCTTTACCTAAAAATAAAAAATGAAATTTCCAAACAAAATACACAGTTTAGAGAGTCAATACCAACTAAAGAAAAACTAGGTGTATGTTTGAAGTAAGTGGTTTTATTATATTAAATAGAAATCGTTATTTAATTTTTATGTGAGTTCATGAGTAACATTTATAATAATTGTACCGTATGGGATTGTACCATATATTTGAATTAAGCTGTAGCTTTATGTTCGTCTTGTTATACCAATTTAAAAAAAACTATTCCTACTTTGAAGTATTTGATAACATTTTCAATAACTTTAGTTCTTTAAATTATCTTATTTCATGTAGGTATTATTAACTTTTTTAAGTTTAGAGAACATTAAATCATATATTATATAATTTAAATGTAAATCGGTTAGGATTTAAATTAGTTTTTAATAAATTAATTTAAAAAAAAAAAGAAATTATTATAATAATAAAATTAATATGGATACTATTAAATTAAATACTAAAAAAATATATATAAATTATAATATTCCATATTATTTTTAGGTTCTTGGCAACTGGAGATTCGTACCAGACGATAGCCTTCAGTTTTCGATTAGGTCATTCGATTGTGCAAGGAATCGTCATCGAAGTATGCAATGCAATCATTTTAAAACTAAAAAAAGAATGTATCAAAACTCCTCAAAAAGAAGATTGGGAGCGAATAGCAAATGAGTTCTGGGAAATTTGGAATTTTCCCAATTGCATTGGTGCTTTGGACGGAAAGCACGTTATGATTGAAGCCCCTCCAAACACTGGCTCGTTATATTTTAATTATAAAAAAGACTTTTCAATTGTTCTTCTAGTATTAGTTGACGCCCAATATAAATTTACTGTTGTCAATGTTGGTGCATTTGGAAAGAATAGTGATGGAGGTATTTTATCACATTCAAATTTTGGAAAAGCTCTTGAAAAAAATTAACTTAATATTCCAAATAATCGAGCATTACCGGGTACAAATGAAAAATTACCATACGTTATTATAGGTGACGAAACTTTTCCATTAAAGAACTATTTACTAAGACCATATCCAGGATCTCAAATGTACAATGATGTAAAAAAAAAAATATTTAATGAACGGCTATCAAGAGCTAGAAAAGTAGTTGAAGTTGCCTTTGGTCAATTGACAGCCAAATTTATTAAAGTTAAATAAAATTATCAAAGATAAACCACTGTAGTAGTATATTTATATTTGTTTTTAAATACAGATAGTTGCTAGGCATTGAACGATAAATTTAACTGGGACTAGTTTCGTAATATTGCTTAAAATACTGCTAATTTAAGTTGGTATGAAAAAAAAAATACGCCGGAAATAGCACTTGTCAGAAATTGCATACCATTCGTGTAGAGTTGAAAAATAAAAAAAGTTTTGGTATAAAATACAAAAGGAAATTAGAACTAATAAATTAAAATTCACCTAAACGCCAAGGACAATCGATTTAAGTTTCTAATATATTTTATGAAAAATGAAATTTTCTGCAGAATCTACGGTTACTTATCATAATTAATTTCAAAATTAAATATTTAATCAAACATTTTTAATTTTTAATTTACACTAACTCATACTAAAAATTTCGAAATTGTTTGATCATCTCCAAAAAGTAATTAAAATATATTCAAGGTTAAGTTTAGGTTAGATTATAATATAATATAAGATGGTTATAATTAGAATTTTAAAGAAATTAGATAATTTTCATAATTTTGATTATGACGTTTTTCCTTTAATGTTATAAATTATAAGTCCAAATTATTAGATTAGATTATAATTATTAATTATAATCTTTTGTGAAAAATAATTTGAATAATAATTATTAATTAAAAATTTTATTGAAAACCGTATAATTTACTAATACATATTTTATTTATTTACATATATAATATATATATATATAATTATTAAAAGGAATAAAATATCAAAAAAAAAAAGAAAAAAAAATTACCTTTAAGCAATATCTAAATATTACCTTTAAAAATATTTTTACAGAATATTTTCATCATTTCATCGTGTAATATACATTTTTAAAGAATATATACTACTCCCAGTTATAAATTATTACCTTATCATGAATAGTTTTGTCATTTTTTTATTATTTTACATTTTATTTATTGTTGACTTCCTACTAAAGGAGCATTTTCTTAAATGTTATTATTTGCACTTTATAAAACCATATATTTGAATAAAATACGGTTATAGAATATAATAATGAAAAATTTAACAACAATACAAAGGTACGTATATTATGTTTAAAATTTAAAAATAAGCACCATTCTGTTATTTGGAAACTAATATAATTATTATTTGATAACTACTGATAAATTAATTATATAATGATATACAATAAATCTATTTATATTTAATTTAAAAGAATACTATTACTTAAATAAAATAATACATATTATATATCATATTATGCAGATTAAAAAAATAATTAATTGGGAAAACGATTTACTATTGGAGAGCGCAACAAAAATTAGGTATTAATTTAAGTATTTTTATAACGCGAAGAACTCATGATAATCAATCAAATAGAAACCTTTTTAGATTTAAAATATTAAAAAATGCATTTGAATATATGATGTAGGTGTACTGAATAATCAAGCATCAGATTTCATCTGATAAGCACTAGCTGTTTATAACATAATGGAACCGTTAACTATTGCTGAAATTATAAGAAAATAACTCATAAATGGGTCATTTAAATACTACACAATTTATTTTGCCAATATTACAATAATTGGTCAATCAACTAAATATTGATAGTTGTTATAAAAAGTATACGAAATGTTTTAAAAACTAATATAGTCAATAACGTAACGGCAGGATTAAAAAAAAAAAAAATTATAAAAAACAAGCATTTATGACGAGTAATAATATAGACAACATAAAAAAATGGTTTGAATGGACAACAAAACATTTATAATAATATTAAAAATATTCCTAATGATATGCTCTAATACATTAAGTATTCGTTGTGTTTGAACAAGTGAATATTCATTACAATAAAAAAATAATAATTATCATCAATTTTTTATAGTATTTAAATCTTAAAAACATCACGTCGTACATAGATTACATAATATATTTGATTCATACTAGTTAAAGTAATTTGCGTGTTTATATTATCATAGTAATTATTCTTTGAAAACTGATACAATTGCAATGTCACTGTAATGTTGTAGGGCAATTATAACATTAAGATTTCTTAAAGCCTTGTATAAATGAGAGTTTAAAGAATATGTTGTTGTATAACATCAAATTTAATCAATAAGTAATATACAGTTTGTGTTTTTAGTTATGATGATGTGATGACAAGTGCATTAACAATTAACATTATGACAAATTTTATCGGAAAGTTAACAACTATTTATGTCTATATTATTATCAATTTACCAGCAAGACATAGATAGGATGGGTCACAATACAATCAATGAATTGTCAGGTTTTGTTTTTTAAGACATATGAACCATCGTAGGGGGAAGGTTGAAATACTTAATTCATTATATAAATTAGAAGTATAATACCTAGAGGGGATATCAAAAACTAATTTAACTAAAGAATTAAAAATAACTTCAAGATTCTTAAAATAAGTATGGTATAAGTTCCTTCCCAAAATGAAATTCCGTAAAAAATGTTTAGTCGTAAAAGAGTTTGGTACATCATTTTTTTTAAGTTTAAAATTTCAAATGTGTTCAAGTGATCTGTACGTATAACAAAAAATCAAGAGTAAATAATTTGTATTAAATTTTCATTAAAATTTGTTATTAAAATAAATCCTAGGTATTTTAATAAACGGACTCTATTTAAAATTTTACAATAGCGTATTTATCATTAACTCAGTAATAAGAATGAAAAAAATGTTGTGGTTTTCTAAAAGTAAATAGTTTCTTTTTCCAAATGAATATATTTATTTTTATCCGTGTTTATTTCTAATGAATTATTGTCCTATCAAGTTGTAACAATCAAAAAACTGTTTTTAGCTAGTTTATGCAATTAATTTAAGTAATGATTTCTCAATAAAATTACAATATATCAGCAAAACAAATTATTTTACCCAGAATATATTGGTTGAGAAATCCATTAATATATATATATATATATATATAATAAATAAAATCGGCCGTAGAACAGTCCCTTTTAATGTAACGCTAAGGAATTAATTACGACTTTTTCAATGAATATATACTATTAAGTTTTAATCTATGTACCTACTCTACCTTTTAAATACAAACTAATTAATTTGTGAGCAGTTCTCCTAATACTACGGAAATTAAATTTATTTAAAAGAATATCATTATCAACAGAATAAAATGTATTTTTGACATAATATATTAGAAAATTCCAAAAATATGTTGGTTATTATCAATATTTTCAATATTATACTGAAAATCTACATAGAAAAATGAAAATTAACGATTTGTATTTTAGATAATTTATAATATCTAAAGAAGAAAAAGATTAAATAAATGATATCATTTATGAAAATACTAATATTTGTTAAATATTTCAAAATTATTTTAATTGCAATTCTTTTTTAAAATTTAATTTTCAAAAAAATTTACTTTGCAATAATTATTTTTTTCAAATTATAATTCAAGGTAAATCGAATTATCAAATTCACTTTCACATACAATATAAATTAACTGAAATAGGTTAATTTTTCATTTCATTTACAAAAAACGATCATTTGTATAATTTTTTAAGTATCATTTATGTGTGGATATTTTAAAATGATGTATTCTGTATGATGATTAATTTGATAAATAAAAATTTACAAATTCATTTTATTTTTAAAACATTTTCGACATTTACTAATATTATAATACTTTAAACTTATGTTTCTTCTAAAAATATTATAGTAATAAAAAAAATTTTAGAAGCTCAAAATTTAAACGATTATTTAATATGCCTTTAGTGAAGTAAATATAATAATAAAAATAATATACAACCATAATAATACGACAAATAAAATACAATATGTGGTTCAAGACATCTGATAAATAAACAGTTAACGAGCAGTGGTTCTCATTGTTATATTTTCTTTTTAATGATCATCAGGACGTCACTTTAAATATTTTCTGAAAATAACTAATAAAAATAACCAGACGTATTTATACTTTATATTTGAAATATCTGTATTAAAAATAAGTTTAGTCAATATCAACTATGATATTATTATTAAGTAGTATAATGGTACGGACATTAAAATATAATTTCTACGAGAAGGTCGCAGGCAGTACCGTACCACTAATTTCTAAATAAATAAAATAAGACCTTTAAATTTTTTTTTTTTTTTATTATTTATATAATTTACAATCTGTTACAGAATAGAACAATGAGCAAAAGTGATGAGAGAATAATGGCAGTAAATATTTAATCAAATTATAAGAATTGTTTTAAAATTATTTTGTTGCTTTAAGTTGGTATGAAAATTAATGAAAATAAAACAATAAACATGTGACTTTTTTCTGAAATAGTAGTATAATATAATAAACGAATAAATAAAAGAAACCTTTTTAATCCCATAAAAATATGGTAAATAATAATAACATGATATGAATACACTTTTAAAATAAATTTTATAATTTATTGAACAATATATTACCCCACATAGTTGAAAGAAAAGTACTTACAATATTATTTTTTTAAATAATATAATTAAATAATCTACAATCTCTATACCATACGGAAATTATAACAGTTTCCATTTATATCAAACGAATAAATTATATGTATTGTCTATATTTAACTTCAAAATATCCAAAAAAAAAAAAAAAAAACATTTTTACGGTCGTATTATTTTTGGGTATTTGAACTGTAATTTGTTATGAACAAGGTTTATTGCTATCAATAACGATATTAACATAATATGACCGTCGTTGAAACTAAAACGTTGATGTTTTTATTTTTATTTATTTTTTGTTTATTGACTTATAGTGTTATAAAAACCTTATCATATGGTTTTTCCTCTTGTTTGAAACTATAACCCCCTCGCTTTCCACTGTTTAAACTAAACTAAAAGACTAAAACACACGATCAGCGTTTGCCGTATGGCGTATGAAATGTGTACGTTCAATTTAAGCTGCCATCTACATAAAACGCCCGTGAAGTTTCAAATTTTGAAAATTGCATTGCAAATTATAACAAATGAATTG